TATTTAGTACTTGCTGAAATTTTTATTTAGTTGAGGGTTAAGTTTATGATTATAAAGTAAATTGGAAGTATGTCATCGCAAAAATTAAAAGAAAAATAAGAAAGTATGGAGAAGGGAGACTGGGAAATATCATTATGTTCTTAAAACTGTATATATGAGGTACATGGAATCTGTTTCCTTTATATAATGAATAAAAAAGAAACAAAAGTGCAATAAAGCTGATTCTTGTGAAAAGAAACAAAGCTTTTAGTTTCCTGATTCCCACCATTGTGTATGTGTGTGTCTGTGTTGAGAGTGTGGCTGTGTACCATCTTTGTGGTAAAGTGGGCAAATCTGCTGCCTGTGTCGCTAGCATCCCATATGGCTGGTTCATATCTCACGTGCTCCAATTTTGATCTAGCTCCCTGCTGAAAAGCAGCAGAAGATGGTCCAAGTGTTTGGGACCCTCAACCCAAGTGGGAAACCTGAAGGAAGCTCCTGTCCCCTGGATTCAGCCTCACTCAGCTCTGACCATTACAGCCAGTCCATTTTACTAATGTTTGTGTTCCTGAAGTTTATGTTTATCATAGCTGAATGTTAGGAATAGACCACTTCCCAATTTCTGCATTTATTTTGTTTTAATGATTTACTTTTATCTATTTGTTTGAAAGGCGCAGTGACAAAGAGAATAAGAGGTAGAGACAAAGAGAAAGATGGAGACAGGTAGAGACAGAGAGATCTTCTATTCTCTGCTTCACTCCCAGATTACCACAATGGCCAGGACTGCACCAGGCCAAATCAATGATCCCAGAGCACTTGGGTTTCCTATGTATATAGCAGGGGCACAATGACCCAAGCCATCTGTCACTGCATTCTCAGGAGCAAAATCTGGGAGCTACACCACAATGCGGCCTCCTCATCTCTGCATTCATTGGCATTGCTTTTGTGTCTTATAAGTGCAAATATGGCAACTTAGGCATTTCCCACTACCCCTCCATACTCACAGCCTGTTAAAACCTTTTCCTTCTAGTTGTGGGTTGCAATTGATTCACTTCTCCTATGGGCTTATTGGATATGCTCAGATTGAACTGATGCCATTCCATAGCATAAGAGAGTTAAGACATGCCTCATAGTGCTCTGCAAAGTGAGGTCTTAAATAAGTGAAATAGAGTAAGCAGTACACCCCAAAAGAAATAAGCAAAAGAATAAGATTTACAAAGATGTCCTCAGATCTCCAAAACATGCCATTAAGGGACTATATAAAAAGTGACATCTGTGTGTGTGTGTGTGTGTGTGTGCGTGTTTGTGTGTGTGGTGTGCCAGTAGCAGGTTTGAAAAGCTCTGCAGGGAAATGGTGTTGGACCTCAGATAAATGAAAAGAAAGAGAGAAAAAGGCCTCACTCCTTCCCCCAACCTGCATTAATTTGTTTCTGCTGTGTTCCCTCTTCTCATGCCAAGTCCTTCCACCAAAATACACTTCCTCTTTCACCCAGTGAGTTGTGGGACAATGGTGCCCTAGGGCACAATTGAATATTAGGGCATCAGTCCTTTTCCAGATTCCCTTGTTTCCTTCCCCTTAGATCATGTGTACTTGTTCATGTGTCAACGGAAGAGGGGCGGTTGTGGGATCCTGTATTCAGGTAAATAATCGGGGAAGGAAGAGAGGTGTGAGATGGACTTAAGCCTATTCCACATCCTGAGTGATTTGTGTGTTTAAATCTCTGCCATCAGATAGAGGATATAAACCTCTGACTGCTCACTGCCTCAGAAAAGAAAGGACAAGTTGCAACTGCAAGTCAACACTATCAATTATCTTGGAAAAAAAGGGATAGAGGAGAGAGAGGAAGTAACAAGTGGGGTTAAATAGCGGAAATGAGTGGATGTCCAGGCATGTCCAGTTGTGATTTCTGGCTGTTGTGATTTGGTGGGCATCTCTGATGCTTAGCATGTTTAGGACTCCTGCAGAGGATTGAGAAGCAAGGACTTGTCTGGAAATTCTTATTGATTACTATAGGTCAATATGCTGAAGAGGAAATAAAGTATCTACATACCTTGTAATAAATCTCCTAACTTCTCTAGGCTCCTTTGATTTTTGAATCTTTTGTTCAATGATTTATTTTGCAAAAATAATTAATAACTCATCAGTGACTGGTAAAGACAAGGGAGTTTTTCCAGATCTTTCACCAAAATTTTTTCCTGAAACCCTAGGTGAAAGTGACTTCCATCTTTTGAGTGTGCTTCCCTATAGGTAAAATGGCAGAATTAGATGTGGCTTGTAGAGGTGCTATGAGGCTGTATATACTTCATATGCAGTGGGCACAGACTACATCAAAGACAGCAACAGTTCCACATACTGCATGAGTGACTCAAAGTAGGAGCTGGTTGGAACTCAATTCCCCTCTTTGGTTCTTGTGGTCATGACTGGCCCCAGTTCCCCTACTGTGCAATTCACTTTGGACCCAAAGTAAACTGGCATGCCATTGGCTGGAGATGTCTTATACTGACATATGGTTTCATTCACATAACAGTGCTAAATGATGAAATCTCAGCCAATGATTAAAAACTGAGTATCTTAACAAAGAACTCTAGACTTACATCTTCTCTTGTAAAATCTGTGAGTTGCTAACAATGTGCCCACATTTCCTCATGACAGCTTGAACAAAGCAGCAATTGCCCTTTTAGGTATAGCATGCACTGTCAGTTGTCCATAGCATATAGAGCCTACTTTAACATGTTTTGCTTGATCCTGTGATAATTGCAATTCCTAGCAAGTGGACAACTGGAAACAGGCAATGCTAGCAGAGGACAGGTGCTCCATTGTAAAGTGAATCAATGCCCCAACTTTTTCCTCTATCCTCGTCTTATCTAGCCTTGATAAGAGATCTCACTTATTGGGAAAGATGATGCTCATTTTGAATTATGGATTGAACAAGTGTGTTATAGTCAGGATCATCTCAGTTCTGGTATGGTTCACAAATATCCATATATCTCTGTAACTTAAAATAAGAGTTTACTATCTGTTCACATGCACAAACCTAGATAAAAAGTGAAGCTAACATCATGTTTATGCATGCATGAATACAGATATGAGTGTACAGTGTATTTTCCCCATCTAAGAAAAATAAACAGGCTGTCATATGAACTAATTGGGAACCCCAGCGAAAGATTCATCTGGTTAGGGTATATAACTATGTTTCAATAAGACAAACAAAAAGATCCAAGTATCCAAAGGAGTAAGGAATGGAGGCACAACAAATTGCCCCACATATTAATAAGGGTCTTCAAGTTAGTAAAATACATGTAAAATCTAACAAATGATGTTCTGCACTTAAATCAGGCAGTGTTCTAGGCATGCCTTATCCTCTGGGGTCCTAGCTCATAGAGAGATGTCTCTAAGATATCCAATAGGCAATGAGTTGGAGGTGGATACCCTGGGACACAGTGTGGGAACAAAAGGCTAGAGTGTTCTTTCTCCAGCAGGAGCTGCTGACAGAAAGGACAGATTCAGAGTCAGGTCACACCCATATCCCCTTCTGGGTCTCCTCTCTTTGTCTTCCAGCTCCATCATAGATTTGTCATCATGAGGACTACACAGGCTCTGGAACTCCTCTGTTTTTCACATTTCAGTCTTTCCTGCCTCACCCCATCCAGGACAGCTACTACTTCTCTTTCAAACCCAGGGTTTAGGAATATGTTCTTCACTAGCTCAGAAACAATCCCTGGCTCCACACCTCCTGCAGTTACTGCTTAAGGATCTCATTCTGTGACTGGTAACCTGTTCAGCTTGCACCCTTACTTTACAGCAGTTCCTTCAGAACTCTTGCTTCATTCACACACCAGGATCCACCAAACATGCTTGTCAAGGGGTACTCAGCCTTGTTCCTCAGCCTCCCCAGATGTTTCTCATCCTCATGGCTCCTGAAGCCCATCTTATCTGGACCCAGCATTGACATTAGTTTGCACAACACAATGTAGGAAGGCACCCAAGCGTCACATGGAGACTGGACAGAAAGACCCTAAAGGTTGGGATCATAATCCTGTGCAGACCAAGCCCTTTGGACCTCCCCATGTCCTGCCCAGGCCACAGCAGATTACGGTGGTCTGGGGAGAGATCCCAGACCATGCTGAGATCAAGAGCCTGGTTATCCCATTTTCTAGGATGCATGGCATAGATCTTGTGGGGACCCATGAGCTGGCCATGGGCCCACATGTTAAGGCTTAGCTTGCTGACCACTGGCATTAGTTACTGCTGTGTGGATGTTTATGGTTTCTGTTGAGCTGTGATATCGGGACCGTTTCATAACCCCAGGCTAGAGTCAAAACAACTATGGCCTTGGGGCTTCCCGTACTTCTTTTCCCACTGACCAAGGCTGAGAAAACACCAGGTGGAAGCTTGTTGTTAGCACCCGAGTTGCTTGCTACGTGACCAGGAGCTTGATTGGATGAAGGCGCGTGATCACCTTTATGGTTGGACAAGGAACGCATGGACTGTGCGTGATCAGGCACCCGATTGGAGCGTCGCTGCATGGACTGTAGCATGGACTAAGCTTGCATTACATGCTTCTGCAATGATATACTATATAAGCTGTTTGTGATATGGTACGGGAGCTTCCCCTTTCTTTCGGAGCTCCCCTTGCTCAAGGGTTTCTTTTTCTATCCTGTTTAAAATAAAAGTCTACTGAAGACCGATCAGCTGGGAGCAGTGTCGTTCCTTTGCGGGCAAGGGAGCGACAGATCTAGTCCCTGCCACTCTCAAAGGCTCAGTATCCTTGTTTCTTGATATGAGGACATGGAACCCTTGTCATTGAACACAAAGCCTCAGAGTCTCAAATTCACTGGCCAACCCTAATGTTCCTTGTCTGGAGTCACACTGAGGAGCTGTAGTGCCCAGTAATGAGGAAGGTCAACCAATGATCCTGATTTCTCCTTCAGAACATGCTGGCTGCTGACGACTCCATCCCACCTTCAGCCCTCTCACAATTATCCCCATCTCAGAGTTCCCCTTTCAATGAGCCGACTACCTGGTAGGCCACAGGGCTGTGCCAAAGGCCTAGGGTCAGGTGGTGTTGGGATAGAGTCTCTCAGAGCCAGCAGTGCTTCAGCAGCCTCCAGCCTTCGCTCCCACTCAGAGGCAACAACCAATGCCTGCTCAGAGGCTTTGGGGACCTGCAAAAAAAAGTTATCAAAGAACAGTGCTAGAAAATCACACCTTCTTCCAATGGGACAAGCATCCCCTCATCCTTCTATTCCCTCCAGTGACCTCCAACTATGCCTCCCCCCACCCCCAAGGCTGTCTTCTCTTCCCATACATTAAGATCAGCCTTTGCCAGGTTTCTGGACCCCAATCCTCTCCCCCCAAAAAAACCTGTGGTTGCAGAAGAGGGTCAAGAGTGGCACAGGACTGAACGATAAAACTTGAGGACCTGGAATCAAGGAGAGGAGAGGCCAGGGGATTAAACCCTCTGGCAGACAAATAGCAGCAGTAGACAGATGGTGGGGCAGAGTTTCTTGTCTGCATGTAGCAATCCAAAGGTGCATGGGACAATATTGTAGTGGCTTGGACAAGTCTCTCCTCCTGTTCCATCTGCTTTTCATTCCAAAACTATTTTGCATATATATCTTGAGACACTAATTCCTACCGGTGTTTCTACCACTAGACCACACAAAAGATAATGGGAAAGCACAGGTGGCCATATTTTAATTTGCAAAGTACATAGAGAGACATAATTACTGTCCCTGTTCATGGACTGCTTTGCACCTCCATGTTGCCTGATCCCCATGGGTCTTGAAGGAGGAGCTTGGTTCACCCACAGGAATCTGACTCTAATGAATCCATGGGCATTCCCAAGGGCCTAATGGCCCTCCCCATCGCGGCCTTGCTTTGCAGCATGGGCCCTCTAGCCTGTCATCTGGTTCATATGGAACGACGTCCCCCATTTGCTGAAGGATGACAATGTGGTCCCCTTTACAATGCTATGAGTGTACAATATTGTCCCCAGATCACAGATAGGCAAACAGGGTGGGACACACAAAGTTTCTGTCCCAAGGTCTCACAAATAGGTATCAGCAAATCTGCGAGAACCCTGTCCTTGCATATTAGTCTAAGATACCACCATTTTCATGGCCTTTACCTTTTCCTCCTCCTTCTGAGCCTCCTCCCCTGCTTTTTCTTAACTTGTGGAATCAAGCACAAGGTTGGGCTAATGATAGCACAAGACACAACCAGTTCATGGCTGGTACTCTACTCACGTGGCAGGCAGGATAGGGGGCCCTTGGGGCTGTCCGGAAATAGTAAATACCAGTTGTGGTTCCGTGGTCACTGGAGTGCAGGGAAGAAATGTAGGTTCTGAAGACTGGCTGAAGAGCAGCACCCCTGAGAGTGCTCCCTGTAGGTCAAGAGAATACATGCTGCAGTCATGTGTGAGGTTGTCCAGGACAGGAGGTATGTACATGTTTGGGGATAAATACAGGAGCCCATGACTTCAGATCTCTGAAGACTTTCAAAACCAGCCAGTTGACCTTGTCTTTTGCAACAGAGGAAATCAAGCCTTGGGTAAAAAAAAGTGTTGTTGCCCAAAGTCACATGGCAGGTGGGTGGAGGGGGAACCCATGTCTTTGGGATACAGAGGAAAGGGTGTGGGCAGTGGATGGATGGGAGCCTCCCCAACTGGCAACAGACTCTCCTTACCTGATTGGAGATGTAGCAAGGGTAGGCCTGTGGCTGGGGTATGATGTTCACCTTTCCAGCTGTGTAAGACCAGGAATCACTTTGGTGAGCCTCCACATGCCACCTCTTATCCCATCAACCTCATGCCTCTCTACCACAGCCCAAAAATTGAGATCTAACTCACCATGGGTCTTCTGTCTCCACCACCCATTTCTCATATCTTTCCTTTCTATGCTTGGCTGACTACATTCATGACTTTTTATACTTGGGAAAGCTAAAACCAACCAGTAAATTGCCCAGGGACACACCATAATTTAGTGACTGGAATTATGACCAAACTACTTCTGTTTCCTGCACCCTAACTCAGGCCGCCTCCCTTGCCAGACACTCACTGTGGATTCCTGCTCCCATGGCCATATTATTGATGTAGACGGGCACCCCAGGAGCAATAGTCATGCTTTTGTTCAGTCCAAGAGCAGGATGCTTCTTTTGCTGTGCCCCCTGCTCCCTAGTCGAGGTAGTCACTGCAGGAAAGGCCTTCTGGTGCTCCCTATGGTAAAAGATTACAGGTCAAAGTTTAGTCACATTTAGAGGAGACCTGACCCTTCCCCTTGTCAGATACCATACTCACGAGAAGAAGACACAATTGTGACACTGGCAGGTTTGGAAGGGGCAGATATGCTCCTGGCCCATGATTTGGGAAATGACGCCATGGTTGTGACAGCGGTTACAGAGAACTACAGCTCTTCTGGGGACAAGTTCAAGCCCCCATGAAGCTCCAGTCTCATGCACTGTTGTGTATTTGAGGTTGGAGAGGCCACTGGGCACAGCAAATATTTCTTTGGGTTCCATGGTTCTAGGGTCAGGAGCAGAGGTTAGAATGGCCACATGATCTATTCCCCATCATCTTCCACTGCCCATAGAAAACCCAATGTGAGGTGGCTGGATTCTTCTCCATCTTGCTCATCACTCCTACCAAACTGCCCCCTCCCTTCTTTTCCCATGGCTTTGTCCAACCTTCCTTCTAACTTCCTTGCTTCTATAATCTCCTTCCCAGGGAACTCCACTCATGAATACCCTCCTTTCCTGAACTTCTTGGTATGGGTCCCCTATACACATGCAATCTGATTGTTGTCTTCCTTGCTCTCATAAACTCTACATTAGATGAATCCCTTTTCAGGAATACACATGTGCTCCTGGATCCCTTCAAAAATAGCTATCCTACCTTCTAATGATTTTCCCTGTGATCTTCCAAACCCAATTACCCTTCCTGGCATCTGTGTCAGCAACTCTCTTCTTAAGCTCCTTCATTCATGCACTCCATACATATTGATTTATGCCCCTTGTGCTAGATTCTATTATCACCCACAAGTATGCCTTATATTCAGTTTTCCCCTCACACACTATCCTGATTTTTTTCTTGCACTCCACCTTAATCTTGATTTCTCCCTTGGCCCCCACCGTTAAACTCCTTATTTTCTCACATGCCACAATGTTCTACTGTACTCCAGGATTCCTGGCCTTTTATCCATTATTATTTTCTTTTATCCTTTTAGTCACTCCATGGATTCCTTACTCAGCAGGTATTACATGCACTGACTGAGGTGTCAGGCCCTGCCCTGGCCACTAGACATCTATTTTCTCACTGCACAGATTTTCCTCTTGGGCCCATACATCTGCGATCGCACAAGTCCATGTACTGACTCCATAGCCTTCCTGTTCTCTTCTGTTCTACTTTCTACACATAAACAATGGAGCTTGTACAGCCTGGATCCTGCTGCATGCCCCGTCTCATCGCCTCAGGGAACACAATCTTTCCCTTCTCTCCATATCGGAGGGAATCATGGCCAGGGACACAGGGCTATGGAGAGGAGATCGGTGGGAGAGGGCCTCCCAGAAGGGGTTTCCCATGAAGGCAACAGGTGGGAAGGGATGGCAGGACAGAGAGGGAGATCTCTTGTAGGTGAATACAGATCAAGGGGTTAATGATTCAGAGCAGGGGATGGGGAAGTAAAGGAGGAAGTAGGCATGGAAGATCAGGCATAGGGAAGGAGGGTCAAATTCCAGATGCCAGTCTGTGGTTACCCGGCCTCCAACAGCTCAGAATCAGTCAGCTGGGACAAGGAGCCAGAGTCAAACCTCTGTTCCTGTCTAGCCTTCTCTCTGGCTCCCTCTGGCTCCTTGTTGCTCCCCTTCCAAAACTTCCCACATAAGTCAATTAGCTTTGACCAGTCTCTCACCTCACCCAATGGCTGACGATCAACGAACTTCTAGATCAGCCACTGATCACACACTACTGGAATGTGCCCTTCACCACCATGTGGTTACAGGAGCTCCTTTGGCTCCTTTATTGCCCAAGCTATGCTCCCTTCTTCAGCTTTGAACAAAACGTCCATATTACTGAAAGTAATTTATAGATTCAGTGTGATCCCAATCAAAATACAAATGACATTCTTCTCATACATAGAAAAAAATATGCCAAAATTCATATGGAAGCACAAGAGACCCTATATAGCTAAAGCAATCTTACACAACAAAAACAAAGCTGGAAACATCACAATACCAGATTTCAAGACATACTACAAGACAGTTGTCAGCAAAATATTCTTGTGTTGGCACAAAAACAGATGTGTAGACCAATGTAACAAAATAAAAACTCCCAAAATCAGTCCATGAATCTACAACCAACTTATCTTTGACAAAGTAGCTAAAATCAGTCTTTGGTGCAGGGACAGTCTCTTCAACAAATGGTGCTGGGAAAACTAGATCTCCACATGTAGAAGTATGAAACACGACCCCTACCTTACACTTTACACAAAATCCACTCTAAATGGATCAAAGATCTAAATCTATGACCCGATACCAGCAAATTACTAGAGAACATTAGGGAAATTCTGAAAGACATTGGCATAGGCAAAGAAAAGACCCCAGAAACACAGGCAATCAAAGCCAAAATTAAAAATAGGGTTTGTCAAAGGAAACACTCAGCAAAGTGAGGAGGCAACTGACAGAATGGGAGAAAACATTTGCAAATTATGCAACTGATAAAAGTCATATCCAGAATCTATAAAGAGCTCAAGATATTCAGCAACAACAACAAACAAAAAATCCAGTTAAGAAATTTTAAAAGGACTTGAACAGGCATTTTTCAAGAGATGATATTCAAATGGCCAACAAACACTTGAAAAAATGCTCTGGATCACTAGCCAGCAGGCAAATGCAAATCAAAACCACATTGAGGTTTCACCTCACCCCTGTTAGAGTGGCTGTCATACAGAAATCAACAAACAAAAAATGCTGGTAAAGATGTGGGGGGAAATGTACCCTATTTCACTGTTGGTAAGATTGTAAACTGGTGCAGCCGTTGTGGAAAGCAGTGTGGAGATACCTTAAAAAATCTGAATATGGACCTCCAATATGACTCAGCCTTTCCAATCTTGGGAATTTATACAAACAAAAAGAAATTAGCATATGCACTGTGAAAAATGGTGTAAAAATAAGCATACTGCATATTTACATCCTTATTGACTGTGGGTAAGTGTCTTTCTATGCATCTTTACCATCCTTTGGTACTTTTGTTTTTGTCTTTTTGAAAATAATGATTTTTAACTGGGATGAGAAAACATGCCATTGTGGGCCGGTGCCGCAGCTCAATAGGCTAATACTCCACCTGTGGTGCCAGCACACCAGGTTCTAGTTCCGGTCGGGGCGCAGGATTCTGTCCCAGTTGCCCCTCTTCCAGGCCAGCTCTCTGCTGTGGCCAGGGAGTGCAGTGGAGGATGGCCCAAGTGCTTGGGCCCTGCACCCCATGGGAGACCAGGAGGAGCACCTGGCTTCTGGCTTCGGATCAGCGTGATGCGCTGGCCGCAGCACGCCAGCCATGGCGGCCATTGGAGGGTGAACCAACGGTAAAAGGAAGACCTTTCTCTCTGTCTCTCTCTCTCACTGTCTACTCTGCCTGTCAAAAAATAAAAAAAAGTAAAATAAAAAAATAAAGTAAAAACATGCCATTGTGATTTTGATTCGCATTTCCCTGGAGATGATGCATGTTGAGCATTTTTTTTATCTACTTCTTGACCACGCATAAATCTTGTTTTGGGATATGTCCATTAAGAACATTGAACATTTATTCTTCTAAATATTATTTTACTTTTAAGGCAAAGTCAAAGTGAGATAGTGGGGACACACACACACACAGACACACAAGAATACAAAGAGGGAGCAAAACAGAGAGATCTTATTAGCTGTTTCACTCCTCCAAATGCCTACAGCAGCCACGATTGTGACAGGCTGAAGTCAGGCACCAGGACCTCAATCCAGGTCTACTATGAAGGTGACAGGGGCTCTAGAACTTGAGCCATCATGTGCTGCCTCCTGAGTATATTGGCAGGACGTTGGATTGGAGGCAGAGTAACCAGGACTTGGAAGACAAACTGCCCTATGGGATGTGGGCATCCCAAGTGGTGGCTTAACCCACTGAGTTACAGTTGCCCATGATCATTTCTTAGTCTGATTATTTGCTATTTTCAGTTGTTTGAGTTCCTTATTTATTTATTTCGAATAACAATCCCTTGACAGCTGAACAGTTTGCAACCAATTTCTCCTTCTGTAGATTGTGTCTTTTTTTTTTTTTTTTTTTGACAGGCAGAGTGGACAGTGAGAGAGAGAGAGAGAAAGGTCTTCCTTTGCTGCTGGTTCACCCTCCAATGGCCGTCATGGCTGGTGCGCTGCGGCCAGTGCACCACGCTGATCCGAAAGCAGGAGCCAGGTGCTTCTCCTGGTCTCCCATGGGGTGCAGGGCCCAAGCACTGGGGCCATCCTCCACTGCACTCCCGGGCCACAGCAGAGAGTTGGCCTGGAAGAGGGGCAACCGGGACAGAATCCGGTGCCCCGACCGGGACTAGAACCCGGTGTGCTGGCGCCGCAAGGCAGAGGATTAGCCTAGTGAGCCGTGGCGCCGGCTGTAGATTGTGTCTTGATCGAGTTTTTTCCCCTGGCTGTGCAGAAAGCATCTGACTTTCATGTAATTGCATTTGTCTCATTTCACATTTGTGGTGTGTGCATTTGAGTTTTTTTCTAAAAATAAAAATTGGTAATTGGCATGTATTGCAGTATGTCCACAGGTATTCTTCAAGGAGTTTAATAGTTGCAGGCCTTAAATTTAGCTCCTTGATTCATTTTCTTTATTTAATGAATTTTTGTTTATTTTATGCCTTGCATCTCCCTGCCAGGATGTCTAATCATCTTTCCCTCCACTGAATTCCAGAGTAACCTGATTCTGTGTTGTGCTATGGGAGAAGGGATCATCTCAGAATGCTGGCCCCCAGGAAGACAGAGACATTGTGCCCCTAGCATTAACCCTGCACTAGGACTAAGTTTATTATCTCACCCCACCAGATGGGTCTACCCAGGAAACAGGGCTCTGAGCAGCCCCTAACACTACTCCTGAGTACAGGAGCTGTGCTCCACACTAGTCAGAATGAAGAATGTACCAATACTGCAGATCCAGACGAGAGAGACAGAGAAACATAAAGAGGGAGGAAGAGAGAGAGAGAGAGAGAGAGAGAGTGAGAGAGAGAGAGGCTTGCCAGGGAAAGGGGGAAGAAGTAGGAGAAACTCCCTGTTTAGGTTACCCTGAATCTTCAAGCTGTGCTTCTCTAGCCAAATTTTCCCTTCTTCTTGGGGCAGTTCTACCCATCCCCACAACCAAGCCCACAGCTTCAGCATTCTTCCTTTCTCTTTTTATTATGAATTCAATCATATCTCATTATTGCTCTGTTTAGGTTTTCTTTGTTGTGGCTTTATTTTGGTAGGTTTTATATGTCCAAATTTTTTTCTATTTCGTCCGTGATTTCC